CTCACCCATCTATCTCACTCCTGAGAACCCCACCTTGCCACCCAGGGAAGGACTTAGAAGAAGACAATTTACCTCACGTGGGTCCAGTTGAGTATTTCCCTGAGTTGAGCTACTGGGAGAAGGTGGGTCGTCTCTCCTGGTTGGGGGTGGGGTTCTCCACTTGTCTCCACTTAAGATTTAAGAGGCAGAGAGGCCACCCGGTTGTTTCCTGTTTATGGAAATCTCATCTCTCCTCACCTGTCCTTCCTGTCCCCTCCTTCCTGTCTCTGCCTTCATGCGTCCCTCGTAGTTTCCTGCTCTGGTCCCACCATGGAAGCTTCTCTGAGCTCACGGTGGGAATGTCTGAGAGGATCCCACCAGTTGGGATCATTTTGTATTCCATTTACTCAGCCTGAAATTAGTTACAAAACCCCACTTCCAATCTGACGAATTCCCACAGTTTGGGAGTATTTCCCCAGCCCGGCTCCTTGGAGCAAACCATTGCTCCAAGGTCCCTTGTCCCTGTGACAGATTCCTTGAATTACTAACCAATGACAAGAGCGCAAGGAATAGGAAAGAGTCATTCATTGCTGATAACTGTCCTCACATTGTCTGAATCACCCATCCCCATTTGTACGGCAGGGTGAGTAAACAGTTCCTGTAAACTAAGAATTGGATTTTATTCATCTTACTTTGAAAAGGCAATACACGCGCAAGGCATGAAATTCAAACAGCTCTGATGCAGTGAGGGCCTCTCCAAAGAGGCTATCATTTTCCCAGGCTGTACTCAAGAAGTAGGGGCAAGGCCCCAGCCTTCAGACTTCCAGAAATTTCTCTGGCTGTTTTTTTTTGTTGTTTGTTTGTTTGTTTCTTTGTGTTTTTTGTTTGTTTGTTTTTAAACAGAGTCTCACTCTGTTGCCTGGGCTAGAGTGCCGTAGCATCAGCCTAGCTCACAGCAACCTCAAACTCCTGGGCTAAAGCAATCCTCCTGCCTCAGCCTCCCGAGTAGCTGGGACTACAGGCATGCACCACCACGCCCAGCTAATTTTTTCTATATATATGTTTAGTTGGCCAATTAATTTCTTTCTATTTATAGTAGAGACTGGGTCTTGCTCTTGCTCAGGCTGGTCTCGAACTCCTGATCTGTAGCAATCCGCACGCCTCGGCCTCCCAGAGTGCTAAGAGTGAAAAGCAATTCTCCATCTTACCCTTGCCCTCAGAGAGGTTCTTCTTTCCAGAGGCGACTGTTGTTACTTGTAGTGGTGACCATGCTTGTGATGTCCAGGGAGGTGGCTGCCAGCCACACGTGCCCGTCGCTGTGTAGCCACCTGGACACCTGAGATGTGGTGAATTTGAACCCAGATGTGCTCTGAGTGTAAGACACACACCATATTTCAAAGACCTGTGAAAGACTGTAACACAGATTTTTATATTGGTTGCATTTTGATGTTTTGCATTTTGATATTTTGGATATAATTTTTTAATTTTTTATTTTATTTTATTTTTTTTTTTAGAGATGGGCTCTCCCTCTGTCACCCAGGCTGGACTGCAGTGGCGTGATCACAGCTCACTGTAATCTTGAACTCCTGGGCTCAAGCGATCCTCCTGCCTCAGCCTCCTGAGTAGCTGGGACTAAAGGCATGCGCCACCATGCCCGGCTCGTTTTTAAATTTTTTTGTATAGACGGGGTCTTGCTATGTTGCTCAGGCTGGTCTTGAACTCCTGAACTCAAGGGATCTTCTCACCTCAGCCTCCCAAAGTGCTGGTTTTACAGGCATGAGCCACACTGCAACTGGCTCGTTTCTTTCGATTTTGTGTGTGTGTGTATTAGAAAATTAAAAACGACACACGTGGCTCACATTTATTGCTTGTATTATATTTCTGTTGGACAGTGCTGGTCTGTACATGAACAAGTGCACACGTATACATGTTTGTGTACACAGGTGCGTGTGGTAGTGTCATATGAACACTGTTCTGCAACTTTCTTTTTCCGCTTAGCAACATGTCTTGGAAATCGTCTCACATCACTATGCAAAGAGAGGCTTAAAAATAATCGCTTACGGTATTCCATTTTATAGTGCTTCATTTATATAACCAGTCCTTGTTGGTGAAACTTTAGGTTGTTTTCAATATTTTCTCCTTCAGTTTTGACACATGATGCTACGATAAATAGCCTTGTTTATTTCACACTTACGCAGTTGGAAAAACTGGGTCAGAGAATATTTATTTACACGTTTGGTTTTGACAAATGCTGTCGAGTTTATCTCCTTAGAGAATGTGACATTTTGCATGCCCATAAGCAAATGCATGAGCCTGCTGTTTCCCTTATATCCTAACACGATGTATTATCAATCATTTTTATCTTTCCCTATCTGACAATTGGTAAACTATATGGTTAATTTATATTACCTGGTCATATGCCCTTGTTTAAAACATATCTGAGAATAATAATTACTAACTTTATATAGCAAAACATGGTTTCCAAAGTATTTTCATGTCTTCTCATTTAATTCTTATAATAATCCAGTGATATAATAAGCATTTTACCTAAAAGCAAATAAAAACTGAGGTGAAGAGGAGAAATGAATCTTTGTGTTTGGTAAATATATACATAAATTCATTTAATTCTCAACACAATATGGAAGAAGATTTTATAGGTTATTTTTTATTTGCATTTTTTTTTTTTTTGAGACAGAGTCTCACTTTGTTGCCCAGGCTAGAGTGAGTGCCATGGTGTCAGCCTGGCTCACAGCAACCTCCAACTCCTGGGCTCAAGTGATCCTTCTGCCTCAGCCTCCCGAGTAGCTGGAACTACAGGCATGTGCCACCATGTCCGGCTAATTTTTTCTATATATATGTTAGTTGGCCAATTAATTTCTTTCTATTTATAGTAGAGACGGGGGTCTCGGTCTTGCTCAGGTTGATTTCGAACTCCTGAGCTCAAAGGATCCGCCAGCCTCGGCCTCCCAGAGTGCTAGGATTACAGGCGTGAGCCACCGCGCCCGGCCTTATTTGTATTTTTTATAGTGAGTTAAGCCACTCACTTACAGATAAGGGACTCACAGTTAGTAAATTGGGGGGTTAATTGTGTGATTTTTGCCATTAGACATTCATGAGTTAACTGTGGCTCAGCTGTGTTACTAGTTGTGTGAACTTGGACAAGTTCATTGACATGTAATATGTACATATTAATATGTAATACATATTTTACATATGTAATATGTAAAATATGGAGAATAAAACTACTTACCATGTGGGAAGGTGTCAAAATTAATTGAGATAATGCATACTAATACTTAGTACAGTTCCTGGCACAAAGGAAGTCATTAAATATGTATGTGTGTGTATATGTGCACATACATGTGTATATACACATGTGTGTGTGCCAAGATTGAAACCCAGATTCTTGGTTTCCTGAGCTCCCACCCTGTCATTTCCCCCTCCTGGTGACTCAGTCCATTCTGGACAGCAAGACTCAGTTTGACCCAGTTCTTGCCTTTTTGTGAGTTGGGGGAAGGACTGGTGCCGAGAGGAGACATTTCCAGGTCTCTATGCGCCTGTCCCTTCCTCTCCAAGTTGGGAAGATGCTCATGTTCTCTGCATCTTCTTCATCAAATGAGTTATTGGTATCATATCGATAATGCGGATACTCTTACAAGTCCCTTTGAGGTTTTGGAGCAAAGTAAGTTGAAGTTGCATTCGTGTGTGAATGAAAGAAAACAAGGCAACGCTTATGCTGGGGACTCAGGTGGAACTTCTGAGTGACTCAGGGACGCTACTGATTAGGTCAGGCGAGCCATGGTGTATTTAGATGCCCCCCAATCTAGTAAATAGTGACAATATAACCAACTACAGTTGTGAAATGGAGCAGAACTGCTCTGTGACTTTAGAATCGTTTTTATTCTTTTCCTTTTGAAAAAAAAAAAAAAAAGACAGGAAGTAAGTGATCAGGAAATGCAGGAACAATAGCCTTTTCCTGGAAGAGTGGCTCCAAAGAGGTGACTAAACATTCAGACATGTGGGGCTGAAATGGCAGGGGCGAGAGCATGGGCCACAGCGGGGTGGCTTATGAGACGTAGACAGAACTGAAGGTTTAGCTCAAGTGTATTATTTATTGCTCCCTATCTGGTGGAAAAAAAAGAGAGATTATGTCAAGGTTACGTTGAACCTGGAGACCATCAAGTGATTAATTGGCAAAAACTACTACCTGACCGAAAGCCTTTAAAAAGCTCTGTCAGGCAGGAAAACCCAGTAGGGGCTGCCTTTATTTGCTTTGATAAAGGAAACATCCTTAAAGAGGGTTTTGAAAGCTTAAACACGGCCAGACGGTGTGTTGGCCTGTTGGTTCCCAGTCTTTTAATCCACTGAACTCTGTGCCTGTGTTTTGAAAACCTCTGGATGCCAAACAGCATTGATTAAGTGCACTTGTTTTCTTTCTTTAAGAATAATTAATCACAATCTGCAGAAAAATAAAACTACTCCTCCGAATGTCTTATCAGCCTGCACTAATCACTGTTGCCACACTGAATTGGTGTCATTTGGGCCCTGAATGGAGACACACATAGCTTTAGCTATTCTGAGCAGCCGTATTACCAGGGAATATGCATGATTTCTCCCAGGCTTTGTGGGGTGTTGAAAAGCCCTTCTAATGTCTCCCCATACTCTTCCGGGGACCAGGAGCCTCCACATCTGTTTTGTAGGGGGGCCCTACAAAAGGAGGAAGTCCCTTTCCAAGAGAGCATCAGAGCCCAGTAAAATTAATACGTTAATTTATTTGAAAAATATTTAAAAATGAGAAGAAGAAAAAATTACTCCTAATCTCGACACTTAGACAAATTCAAAAAGAGTGTCTCTGTTGGTCCCTCTTGTGCAGGAGTCCTCAAACTACGGCCTGTGGGCCACATAAGGCCTGCCGAGGACATTTATGTGGCCTGCCCAGTGTTTTTGTCACCGCTGCCTGTCCTGCTTAGCAGCCAACTTGTCCCAGGCCCACAGTGCGCATGTGTGGAATGTGAGCCGCACTCTCCAATGGCCCTCCAACGGTCTGAGGGACAGTGTCCTGGCCCCCTGTTTACAAAGTTTGAGGACCCCTGCTCTTATGCCATGCTCCAGAGTTAACTGCTGTTAAAAATAAATGGTATGTATTTTTCCCATTTCTTTTTATAAATGTGCAATTATATTTATACCTGCTTTCTCAAACAAAATGGCATGTGATTTGCTATTTTTTTCACCTAGGTTTTCCATGTAATCTTAGAGTTCTTCCTTTCTAAAAATGGTTACAATGGGGTTGGGTGTGGTGGCTCGTGCCTATAATCCCAGAACTTCGGGAGGCCGATGTGGGAAGATCACTTGAGCCCAGGAGTTCGAGACCAGCCTGGGCAACATCAAGAGAAATCTGTTTCTACAGAATATAAGAAAACTTAGCCAGGCATGTAGCACATGCTGTAGTCCCAGCTATTCAAGAACTGAGGTAGGAGGATCTCTTGAGCCCAGGAGTTCCAGGCTGCAGTGAGCTATGATCTTGCCACTAAGCTCCAACCTGGGCAACAGAGCAAGACCTTGTTTTAAAAAAAAAAATTGGTTACAATGAGATACAGTAATACACAAATGTAAAATAGTATGACCACTTTGGAAAACATTGGCAGTTGGCTATAAAGTTAAACATACACTTAACATATGACCCACCAATCCCACCTCTAGCTATTTAACCCAGAGAAATGAGAACACTTTCACACAAAGTCTTATATGTGAATATTCGTAGCAGTCTTATCCATAGTCATTCCCCAAATGAAAATAATTCAAATGTCCATCAACTGGTGAATGGAAACACAAATTCAGTCTATCCATGCTGTGGCAAATTGCTCAGCAATAAAAAGGAATGAAGCATAAACACACACACAGTGACACTGTTGACTCAAAATCTATGTGCTCAGTGATGGATCTCAAACACAAAAGTTTACGAACTACGAGCCCATCTATACGATGTTCTAGAAAAGTCAAAACTACAACAAGACCAGTGGTTCTCTGAGAACGGAGGTGGAAATATCCCACAAAAGAGCATGAAGAAACTTTTTAGGGTGATAGAAAAATTCTTGATTATGCGGGTGATCACACCAAGACACACAATTACCAAACTTCATCAAACTGTGAATATGTAAATTATGCCTCAATGAAACTAAAAATGAAAAACATAATATTTACAAAATAGTTGACTTTTAGCAAAGTTTATTTTACTGATTTTACTATTAATACTGATTCTTCTGAGCACTTTACAAGTAATAACTCATGTGGTCCCACGAAGTAACCATTTTTATCATTCCCATTTTACAGAGGGAAGAAACTGAGGCCTCGAGAGCTTAAGTAATTTGCCCAGAATCAGACTCAGGTAAGTTAGCCCTACCGCCCACACAGCCTGGTGTCCTCAGCCACGTCCCCAGCGACTGCTATGGAAGGACCACAGTTTGCTTAGCCACTCCAATTTTTTTCCTCTTTGCTATTTCAGTGCTTAATGAACATCTTATTTTCATTTACTTGCTCTTTTCTTTCTGAGTGGCTATTTCCTAGAAGTGGGATTGCTGGGCCAAAGACTAGATGTATTTAAAGTTTCAACTAAATTTCCTTTTTGAGCATCTGCTAGGTGCCAAAGCTACTTTCCTGTTCACCATCATATTTAGCTTTCATGGCCATCCCGTGAGCATGTGTACTGTGGTTGTCTTCATGACCTGCACTGAAGGGACTTGTCCTGAATCCCATAGCTAATCAGTACATGAAATCTCAACTCTGGCCTTCTTTTTTTTTTTGAGACAGAGTCTCACTCTGTTGCCCAGGCTGGAGTGCCTTGGCGTCAGCCTAGCTCACAGCAACCTCAAACTCCTGGGGTCAAGCGATCCTCCTGCCTCAGCCTCCCGAGTAGCTGGGACTACAGGCATGCGCCACAATGCCCGGCTAATTTTATATATATATATATTAGTTGGCCAATTAATTTCTTTCTATTTATAGTAGAGATGGGGTCTTGCTCTTGCTCAGGCTGGTTTCGAACTCCTGACGTTGAGCGATCCGCCCGCCTCGGCCTCCCAGAGTGCTAGGATTACAGGCGTGAGCCACCGCTCCCAGCCAACTCTGGCCCTCTGACTCCAGGTCCTGTGTGAATTCTACCTTATGCTAGCTATAACACAATGGCTTTTTGTTTTTTATTTTTTTTGTGGGTTTTTTTTTTTGCTATTTATTCTTGGGAGCCAGAATTTATACCTAGACCACTGAGTCAGTGACTGCCATGGTGTCTCTGTTCTCTTTCAGTCAAGGGAGGGATTTATGCTCCTAGAAAACAAACAAATATTCTTTGGATCTCAATGTTAGTAGAATATATTGATCCTGAAAAATGATTTGCATGCTTTTAATTATTCCTCATGTTTTAACATGCTTTTTATTAAAGAATACAATCTTTATGTTCTTATCAGGTGTTTGCTTAATGGATATTCTAAAAAGAGAATCATAGCTTTACTTAAAATATAAACACAGCTTGATCATGCAACAATTGATTAGACAAATGTATAGATTGTCTAGGTTTCTTCCTTCTTCCCTCCATTTTTATGCCATGCCATTGTTCTACTGCTTACGAGTGGGTTAACTTTGGGCAAACTAGTTTATCATTTTAAGCCCAATTTCCTCGTCTGGAAAATGGGGATGAGAAAAGAGTCCTATTCTGTAGAATTACTTTTAGGATCGAATCAAATCATTCATGCACGGTGTTTGACACTGTGCCTGGCACTTGGGAAGCCTGAGCAAATGTCACTGGGTAGCAGTGGCTGCAGCACAAGCTACTGTCAAGACTGGAGAAATAGCAGGCCAGCTGGGCACAAGGTGTGGTCCATAGCAAGATTTCAAAAAAGAGGGTATGGAGTGAGCTTCTAGCGAATAAACAAGATTATTTAGCAGTTGGAGTGTTGGGTGAGAAGAATCTAAGATCACCAGGCAAGACGCCACTGGTTGGCCCTTCAAAGTCGGCCTGCACTGTGAAACCCCCTCCTCCCTCCCCTCTGGCTTCCCTGACCCCTCCTGTCTTCCCCTGCTGACCCCTCTACCTCCTCCTGCCTTCAAGGTTCTGTCTTCTAGCTCTCCCCCTTCTCATCTGCAGTCTCTCTCTGATGATTTATGCATAGGTAGTTACAGAAACTTGCAGAATGACTAAAGATACATGAGAAAAAAAAAAAGAGATTTTATATTTTTATAGGAGAGATTGCTGGGGGTCTTGGCCAACCTGGACGTGGGGGTCGGGCAGGAAGGAATCCAGTGCAAAATATCCACTTAGGATTCAACTTTCACCATTGGCTTTTTGAGTTCTCAGTTAATTGCATCTTTTTGCCAAGATGATAAAATGCTCTCCCTTTTTGCATCTGGGACAAGTTGATATGAATTAATCAGACTCCGTGAAGCGTGCTGAGGAGGGTACAACCTGCATCCCTAAGTGAGGAATGCGTGGGGGCAGTTTCGCCAGATGTGAGAGTCAAATCAGCGCTGTTGCTCACTGCAGCCGGGGCCAAGGTTTATCTGGGGAAGAGTCTGAATCTGTTGGCTCAAACAAGACTTTAGGTTTGATCCATAGTTCCATATTCTGTGCCTTCCAATAATTAAGAGTTGGCTCTATACCAATAATGTAGTAGCCTCAGAATTAATATGTGGGAGTTTGGGTGAATAACATTTTGATGCGTAATATTACCTAGCGATAACTATGGGGTCGCTAAAGCTAGCCAGGAAATCTCATGAAAGGAGTTCTTTGTTGATACATTGGCTCCTGTCTGATTGTATGTGATGCAGTGATCCAATGAAAATAATAATTTTTACTCTTCTGGCTTATTTGTGGGTTGGATCCAGAAGCCAAGGAACTCAATATCGAAAAAAGGACCAGGAGAAAAATGGATTAATGAAGGCTCCTTCCCCGAGATCTCAGTGAAGAATGTTAGTGATCATCTGTGGTTTGGCCTGTCCAGGGTCCTTCATCCACACGCAGAATCTGTCTCTTTCTTTTGGAGAATCACATCTGCTCAACACTGATCGTATGGTTTGCACAGAGATGGTGCCGCTCCATGGCTTTAGTGAGGACTCAAGTACAGTTAGTGAGAAGACCACGTCCTCTGGCCACAGCAATGTGGGCCCTTGACCAATGCCAGATCAAACAGAGGCAATCCTGGTCTTGCTCAAATTCTTGAGAGGGGTCATTTCTTTCGGGTGGGATTGCTGAGCTAGCAAAGTATATATCTAGAGCTGCTAGAGGTCATCTTGCCACCATGGAAGGAGAACCTGCCAGAAAACAAAGACAACATAAAAGAAAGAAGAACCAAGAGATGGATACTAATTCCTGACAATGCCGTGTGAGTAGCTGAATCCATCCGTACCTGAAGCCGGCTTGGATGTTTGTTATAGGAAAAAATAAACTTATTTTTTTGTTGTTGTTGTTCAAGTCAGTTTGAGCTACTTTTTTTTTTAATCTCCAATAATTTAAAGCCTAAGTATTCTATGCCCAGAAAAGAAGACTCTATCAGTATACAAATGTATAGCCTAGAGAAATAAAATGTTAAAATACTCTGTTAGTTTTCACGGTGTTGAAGAAAGAAAAATAGCGCAGTGATAAGACTGTTTCCCTATTGGCTGGTCTCCAAAATATGTCAGGATGAGAAATCATATTATTCTTTCTCTTCTCTCCCAGATGTGTTTCTGACAACCACATGGTGTTCAGATAGCCAGAGTTCCTGCACAAATCCCCCGTGTGTCCAGCGTTATGGTGTTCGGTTGTATCTCTGTTTCGCAAAGACTAGGTGCCCCTTCTCTTTCTTTTGCCTCCGTGTAACACATCTCGTTTCTTATCTGGAGCTCTGTGGATGCTGAATTTCTCTTTTCAGTGAATCACACTGACTTTGCAGACTGTCTTTACCCTCCAGGTCCCAAGGGAAAGAGGGAAGTTGGAAGGTTCGGTGGGATGTGTAGTGGTAATCCACAGAGAGAGAAACGAGACTACTGAGCTCACGAATGGCCAACGGAGGTTGACTTTAGCCCCGTGTTAGAAGGTCAGAGGTAGCGCCACCCACCAGTCACCGAGGGCCATATCTTAGACCTTGATGTGGGATTGTACAAAAGAGTCGGCCTAATGCCAGGAGGGCATTGAAATTGGAAGTCCCCAACTCTAGGTGTCTTAGCTTTACACTGGAGGAAAACCATGCTTCCTTGACATAAATTTATTTCGTTTTTTTGCGCCAGTTTGCAATGAATAGAGGAGACCCAGCACTGGTGTGAGTGTTTTTAGATTAGGGATCAAAAACTCGAATGCGTGCAGGGGCCAGGCAGCCGGCACCGCTGGGTGAAGTTGCCTGGGTGAGGCCTCAGCCCCTGCGTGCTCGCAGGGAGCTGTCACTGTTCAGCGCTAGCAGAGGGACACATCCTGGGGTCCTGTGGTGCCAGGGCTTCTATGCTTCGCAGAAAGCGGAAGCCCGGAAGTCATCAGCTTGCAACCTCTAACTCGGCGTGTTTAGACCTAATTTGGTCCACATTGAACAGAACCCAGAGTGTCGCCGTTTAGAGCCCCAGACTCTGGTGTTGGGCTGACATGGACTTGAGTCCTGGCTTTGCCACCTGCTAATGTCACGACCTTGGCCAAGAAACTTCATGTTTCTGAGTTGCAGTTTTCACATCTGTAAAATGGGGCTGCAGTTTCCACATGTGCCTCACAGCTGGGCTAGGGAGGGGGTAGAGTTTTAGGTAAAATGACACAATGTTCTCAAAGTTCTTACACATTGGCTGTGTGCAAGTGTAAAGCTTTTTAAAAAAAAATGCTGGTAATTCTGTGAAAAGAACTGACAGAAATTCATGTAAGGTATTGCTTTTGTTTCCTGCAGGAACATAAAGTCAGAGAGACAATGGTGTGTAGTGGTTACGAGCTCAAAGCTGAGAGCCTTTGGCCTGGGTTTTGTCATCTTTAAAGTGAGGATCTAAGGGTGCCCATCCCAAAGGATTCTGACTCAGATTAAATAAGATAACAGGTATAACCCCGTTAGCATGCCTACAGCATTTAGGACAGAGCCTAGCACACGATAAGGACTGTGGGGGGTGAAAGGTTACGATACTATTCTTGCAATAAAGTTTTAACAGCTCTTATCAGTTTATCACTTGAATAAGACTGTATTCATATCGTGGACCTTACGGTTTCTATTATCCTAACTTTAATGACGCCTGATGCAATTATATTTTACCTTAGAACGTTGGAAAAGTTTACCTACTATCTTTAGGGCCACTTCAAATGCACAGGGAAAGGAATAAAAAAATGGAGGGTTAAAATAATAGAGATTGCAATTATGTCAAGTTCTTTAAAGACAGGTTTTACAAAACTGACCTAGAAGAGAGTTGGGTGTGTTAGAAAAAAACCCAAACAAACAACAATTTATCGAAAGCCTCTTTTGTGCAACGTGCATCGCTAGACCCAGAATCAAAGCTGAAACAACACATGCGAAGGCAAGCCCGTCTACTTGGAGCCACCGTTGGTATTCACACGTGCTGGCACGTGGCTGGCGTGTGTGCACTTCCTGAGATCCTTTTCTACTCTTAGGAGTTACCAGGTAGCGCCGGGCGTAGGAGGGGTACAGATCGGCGTTGAGTTCAAGGGCGATGCGGACGCAAGTGGAGACCCCAGGGCGGCGGCACAGGTGGGACGCAGGTGCCCGGTGGGGCGTGCGCTGGGGACGCTGGTGACCCGGGAGGGCGGTGCGGGGCCCGCGCACTGGCTGCGTTCTTCTTCTTCCTAAACCAACCGACTGAGTCTCCGGAAGAATTCAACCTCAGTTTTGTGGCTGTTTGGAAGAAGGCGAGACTGACATCTTCTGCCCGGGTTGGAAGTCGGTGTAGACGCGGAGCTCCCCGAGGAGCGCGGTCAAAGAGCGGAGTGAGAGGCTGGGAGCGGGGCCCATCGAGGCCCGGGGCGCTGGGACCACCGGGGGTGCCCGGTTGCAGGCTCGCTGGGCGTGCGGGGGCCACCGGGGTCCCTCCTTGGCACGGCACGGCCTGGTCAGGCCCCCTGCAAGGTGACAGCGACACGGATAGCCAATGGAAGGAGACTGCCACCTGGCCGTGGGCAGGCAGGGATGCCCGCCCTGCCCGCCCAGGTACCCCAGCTGGGAACCCAGGGCCACCCTAGAGAGCTGCTCCAGGAAGGAAAGGAGCTAACCACCGTCAGACTGTTCCTAACCAAGAAGTGGGGGGAAGTTACGGAATCCGGCTGAGCTGTGATGGAGAGAGGCACTTTCCACCTGGAAAGGTGGAGGGAGGTTGCCAACAGAGCAGCTGGTAGCATTTATTTTTTAAAAAGTGCAAGCATTTCATGTGCATGCACTTCTGATGCATTGAGTTTCTCCATTCAAGAGTTCTCCACGCGCAAGGCGGGAAGTCTAAGGGCTGCTTTTGCAACTCACTGAGCCAGAGTGGGTCCAATTGTGGGGTTACTTCCGCTGAGTAGAACCATTTAACCGCTCTGAGACCCCATGTCTTCCTCTTTAAAGTGAGGAAGACAGTAACCCCTTAGCTACTGTTCTACTGTTCTTTTTAGGGGCAAATGAGATAATTTCTGTGAGTGAAAGATCTTTATGAATGACCAAGTATGGTATAAACATTAGCTATTATTAAATGAATTTCCAATTTCATTCCTCTACCTACCTCGTGGTTTAGGGTATAACTGCTCAAAATGGAGAGTTGAAGAATTACTTAGCTCAATGTGATGAATATTTATTGAATGACTCCTATTGTAAGGAGTTGTCTATGTGATTTCATCAGTGTAGACAGCTGGTCTGAATAACATGAACCTCCTACATCATTGTATCAATAGCTTTGGGAAGTTTGGGGGTATATTATCGACACACTTCCAGTGTTCACTTAATTTTCTCTGTGACTGTCAGCCTTCCATTTTTTATTCTGGAAAACACATCTGTGTTATGATGAATTGGCTTTGTTACCATATTATTTCCTATACCTAACTCATTATTTAGAAGTATAATTAAACAATATTAAATGGTTGAATAGGGTGTTTCATAGTTCAAGCTAAGACTTTATTCAGCAGGGAAAATCTGATTTTATTATTTACTTTATTTGAGGTCAGATTATTTTCAAATAGTTAAGTTAAATATATTAAATATGTACCTACACTTGAGAACACTAAAGAGAGAAAAATCCCTCCACACACAACTACATCATAGAACTTGGAGGAGGAAAAAGCCCAAAGCTATATTTAAAAAAAAAAAAAAAAGTACACTTTAACTAGAATAAGTTATAGATTTAAAGAACTGACCCTTTAGCTTGTGTCCTACATAATTCATTACAATAAAATCCAAGGAACTATTTTCTCCCTTATTCAAAGTCTAATTGCACGCATGGTCTCTGCATGGTTGTAAAAGTGTAATCATATACTGCCTAATATTACTTGAATTTATTGCCTGTGTATTATTCTAACTAGAAAGACAGTTATAGTTGAGATTGCTCATTCTTATACCCCTACACCCAGTACCTTTCATGGAACTGAGCCCAAAGCTCAGTTCATGAGATATACTTTGGACTCTATTCATTGTCCTGATGCTTTGGTTGTAATGTAATTTGTTGCATTTGGGCCAGATACTGCTATCCCTAAATTAGCTAAATATTCCACTGTGGAGTTGTACTTTTCATGAATGTAAACTTCTTATAAATTACCCTGGGCTGTCAGGTTTCTGTCACAATTTCCAGGGGGTCGTCACTTGCCTTTTTTAAATCTGTACAAGATTCAAAGAACAAAGTCTCTTACTCATAGTTCAGTATGGCACTCACTGTGAGTGACTGAAGAAATCAAGCTGGACAAATGCCTTGCAATGATGCCCAGGCGATGTATCAACTGTCATTTGCTTCAGGTTTTTGTTTGAGGGCTCTAGGAAGCCACTTCCTCCAAGGGGGCCATCTTTGATGATATTTTGCCTCCAGTTTCAGTGTATGGAAGGGGAATAAAGTCAGAATGATGCTGCTTTCATCACTGATCGCTTTGCTAACATCAAAGGATTAAGGGAAGTGTTTTTTTCCTGGGCCTCTCACCTTCTTTTGTCCCTTCCTCTTCACTCTCCATAAAGCTTATCTTGGAAGCCAGGCACCATCTGCAATGTCCCGGTAAGGTGTGTGTAATGCATGCTCTGATAGTTTTGTGTTTATAACACAAATATATGGGGTTGTCACCGAAGCAGGGATTGTTTGCTATTAGGAGGCGCATCCTGAACAGGGATTACTGAGGCTGGCCTGTGGTCAGATGGTCTTCCTGACATAACGTTTCCTTGTCCCCTTAATATCTATACTTCTGTTTATGAGATCCCCACTTTTTTTGGTTGGGCAGGGGGAGGAGGTTGCTGTTGTTCATTTTCTTTTCTAATCTCAACCCGTCTGTGCGTAAATTTGTGTTTCATGCTGAGAAAA